CTTGTACTACTATTCCTATACGTCACAGTTTTTCACTTATCACGGGTCTTCAGCGTACAGCTCCCTCACAATAAACGAGGGACTACTGTAATAGATTTGCTTTCAAAGTAGTAACTATCCAATACTTTGTAGATTCGATGAATGTATCTGCTCTCAAATGCGTCCAAGGAACTAACATAAAAAGAACATTGTGACAAACATTCTGACGGAAGTAAAATAGTTTTACAGCAAGCAGTCTGTTTTTTTATATATATATATATATATATATATTTAATGAGCTTTAACACTGCCAAGGCTTAGAATTGCATTTATTAGAGTGTAACTGAGTTTAGATAAACCCTAAAATATATATATACATATATATATATATATATATATAGTAGGTGAGTCTTCAAAATCTGCCCCTTTGTTATACTTGGCTTGAAGAAAATCAGTCACAGTCGTAATGTGCTTTTCATGTTGTTCCTGTTGCCTGAGGCCTTGGCTTAACTCATTCAGATGAGTGTTTGAATGCAAAACACGCTTAAAGAGCCAGCGTGAGTGAACGAGCCAACAAGCTTGCTGTCTTCTGACCACTGAAAGAATTGCACTAATTCCAAGTGAAATCATGCCTTAAATTGATTTTATTTGCACATTATCATTACAGAAATACACAATCAAATTAAATGTGTGAGGATATTGAATAAGACCTAGCCTATTAATATTTTTGCTACAAATCAAAGTGGCCGTGAGCCTGTAGGAGGTGTGAGTTAGTTAGGTGAGGATCTGAAAGGAGTGCTCATCTCCGTGTTTAATGCTTGTCTTGAATCTGCACGGCCAAATAACTGCAACTGTGCAAATATGGAAGCAAACTGTGCAGCGTAGTGATGTGAACATGTGAGCTGTTACCTCATCTGACCTCTCCTCAGCCGCTGCTGAGGCGGAGGGGGGAAAAAGAGAAAGGAAAAGCAAAGCAAAGGGATGAAAATAGTGCGAGGAGGAATTTTCAAAGTGAAGGGAGACAGTGGACGGTGAAACGGATACAGCAAGGGAGAAGGGGAGGAAGGACAAAGAAAAAGTCAGACGCAAATGGAGAGATAAAAGGAGGAGGAGCCATTAGAGGAGACGAATGGAAAGTGATGTGTCAGCAGTGAGCGCTGGAGAGGTGGAAGTTAGGACGTGAGGAGACGTTCCACTCCTCCCCTCACTCCCAGTGTTTCTTCCTCCTTCTCCTCCCTTTTCCTTCAAAGTTACAAAAGTCATTCTTGGCATGAAATCTATATAAAGCCTATAAAAAAGAAGTGAATGAGGAGAGTGGGCATCTGCACGAGAGGAGTAATCCGGCTTGTATATAATGTTTTTGGTACAGCCTCCCTCGGGGGACACGACTTTTCAGTCAGTGGTCGTTTATTAAAATGACTGTCTCGTGGTCCTTTGCTACAGAGCTGGTTAGTATTCTATTTTGTAGTTAGTTATTTTGTATTCTATGGGTGGCTGTGACTGAGTGGTTAGAGAAGTCGTCCACCAGTGCAAGAGTTGGGGGTTCGATTCCACCAGCGGCCACATGCTGAAGTGTCCCTGGGCAAGACACTGAGCCCTTCATTGCCTCCGATGTGTGTCCCATCTATGTATGAATGTGATAAAGCTCTGATTAGTTTTTAGAATGATTTGTTCAATTA